TGTCCTTGAAAACTCATTCTCAAAGGAAGATACTAAAGACACACACATATGGCATAGGGTAGTTTACTTAAACCTTGAGGTCTAGGGGTGGTGGAAAGCTGACACCATGTCTCCTCATATAGTCTATTACAAGGCATTTTAGTTAGGGTAGGAGTAGACATGATCTTAGACATCAATCATACAGCCTCGTAAAGCATTCATACAGTGTCCAATCGATACCAAATTTACAGAATTTTTATCTTTTACAAATATTAATTTAACTGATCTCGTCGAAACCCACATTAGAAATCCAACTTTTAAAGTTTTGGCTTATGAAGCAAATGAATAACTTCGCTAACCCAAAAGTCAAGTCCGCTTAGTCCGCACAAGCTCCCTTTTTTTATTGTTATTATTATTATTATGAGTATTAATTAACACCAATTTGCACGTCTCCACTCTTTGTTCTTTAATTCAAGGCTCCTCTTCCCAATACACCTAATCGGACTTGAGATCAATGGACGAACACGGCGGCGGCGGATGCGGCGGAGGGTTGCGAAGAGTGGTGGTGGTTGGCGGCGGCATAGCCGGCTCTCTGCTAGCCAAATCCCTCCAGTTCTTCGCTAATGTCACTCTCATTGATCCGTGAGTAAAAGTTATCATTATTGTTCTTCTTATTATTATTATAATATTAAGTAAATCGAAGTTTTAAATTGATCGTGAAACCGATTTGGCGATCAGAAAGGAGTATTTGGAGATTCCGTACGGCAGCTTGAGATCAACGGTGGAGCCTTCTTTTGCAGAGCGATCATTGATTAAGCATTCCGAGTATTTCAGCAATGGCCGATTAATTACTTCCCCTGCTGTGGATATAACTGAATCCCAAGTGTTGGTTGCCGATGGACGACATGTCGATTTTGACTTTCTCGTTGTCGCCACTGGCCACGATCATCCCCTTCCGACAACCAGGGATCATCGTCTTCAACACTACAGAGAAGGTAAATTCATCTCTTTTCTTTTTCAATTTTCACTTTTTGGGTTAAAAAAATATTTTACAGAAGGGTAAAAATCAAAACTATTTTTTTTATTTTTTATTTTTTGGTTTAGACTTTATGGTTAATTAATATTTTAAATAATACATATCACAATGGCTGCATACCACTAGGAAATAAACAACTCTAATATATATATATATATATATATATATATATATATATAACGTTAAAAATTAAAAGAATAAACCATTAAAGGTTTTGATATTTTTTTTTATCAGATTAATCTTATTTTACCTTATTTTAAAGATTATTATCAATATTAAAAATATTTTAATTTTTTTTGTTAGGTATTGAATATGATATTTGAATTTTTGTAAAATTTTAGTTACTAATATAATATAATATGTTTGGTAGATAAATAAATTTTGTGATGGCTACAGAAAATGAAAGGATTAGAGAAGCTAATTCCATTCTAATAGTTGGAGGCGGACCGAGCGGCGTCGAACTTGCTGGAGAGATTGTCACAGACTTTCGGGACAAGGCAATCACCCTGGTCCACGACGGACCGAGATTGTTGGAATTCATGGGACCGAAGGCCTCAGACAAGGCTCTAAAATGGCTCGTCTCCAGAAGGGTGGCTGTAAAATTGGATCAAAAAATTGATCTAAACAACGTATCAGAGGGAACCAAAACCTTTGGAAGTTCAAAGGGCGAGACCATCAGGGCGGACTGCCATTTTGTATGCACAGGACAACCAGTTGGGTCGGCTTGGCTTCACAAAACCATGTTGAAAATCAATTTGGATAGGCATGGAAGGTTGATGGTCGACGGAACTCTCCGAGTTAAAGGTCGAAATAACGTCTTTGCCATCGGAGACATCACCGACATTCGAGTAAGATTTTATATCTATATATTGAGAATGTTTGCTAAAATTACCATATCCGGTGAAAGTTCTCTATTTATAATTATCAAATAAAGTACAAAATAAATAGAAATAAAAATAAATAGAAAGAAGATATTTGTATATAATAAAATGCCACATATGCTACTTATGTTGTGAGAACCCAAGTTGGATGAGAAGGAGAACAAAACACTATTTATAAGGGTGTGGAAACCTCTCCGTGTAGCAGATACATTTTAAAAACCTTGAGGGTAAACCCAAAAGGGAAAGCCTAAAGAGGACAATATCTTTACTAGCGGTGAGCTTAGACCGTTACAAATGGTATTAGAGCCAGACAATGGGCGATGTGCCAATCAGGAGGCTGTTCCCCGAAGGGGTAGATACGAGGTGGTGTGTTAGTAAGGACGTTGGGTGTCACAGTCCATCTTTTTCAACAGCACGACGTCTGATCTTTACACGCTCACGACCAGCCTTAAGGGGAATTAAGCTCCATATATATTTTTCACCCTAGTTTTGTGGCATCTTCAGACCTTAGACGAGTTTTGTCTTCGTCAATTGAACATTGCTTGTGCGGAATCCAAGCTTGTTCAACTACACACACCACCTGTGCGTGCATGTTTAATCGTCTATGACACAACCAACTTGCCTCTACACTATGCCAAGTCATTCAACTCGACCTTGCCTCTGCTCGGGGCCAAGGTCTTTTAATGCAACATCACGTCTCATCTTGTCACAACGTGAGGGTCACAACCTACTCTCTTCATAGTTAGGTTGTGACATTCTCCCCATTTAAACTAGTCATCGAGGCACAACCATTGTTAGGTTGTGACACTGGGCCTCGAAAGGGTAGATTTAATGGGGGTCCCATATTGATTAGAGAAAGGAACGAGTGAAAGCAAGGACACTGAACCCTGAAGGGGCATGAATTGTGAGATCCCGTATTGATTAGGGAGAAGAACGAAATACCGTTATAAGGATGTGATACCTCCCTATATTTATGATAAACTATAATGAAAGGCTAAATATCCTAACCTAAGTAAATTCGTAAAGAATGGTTGTCGGGAATGCAGGAAAGTAAGCAAGGGGAATCGGCGAAGAGGCAAGCGAAGGTAGCTGCAAAGAACATGAAGATGATAATGGTTGGAAAAGAGAGTAAGATGGAGAGTTACAGGCCTCCATCTTCCACCACCGCCATAGTATCGCTGGGGAGGAAACAGGCAGTGGCCCAGTTTTCTTTGACTACCATTGCCGGAACTTTGCCTGGCTTCATCAAATCCAGAGATCTTTTTGTGGGTAAGGCAAGGAAGCATTTAGGCCTACACCCAACTTTTGTGGATTCATTCTAAATTTTACTCCATTTTATGCTTCTTTCTTTCATTTTTTTAAAGCTTTTTTTTGTTCTTTTTCATGGAATTCTTTTCTTGGGTGGTTGCATTTTTCTGTGCAATATAGATGTTTATAGTAATTATTGATATTGATTATGAACTATGTCTATTTCTAATTCCATATTGGATGATGTTTGGTTTTTGAATTTTTGTTTCTAACGACCAAATTAATAAAAATAATCTTAAATTTTATCCTTTATTTAAAAAATATTTAAAAAAATTTAGTAAGTTCATTCTCACGTACCCCACTTTGACCTCTTATATCTTACTCGTTTTCAAACCAAATGAGTTGAAATCAGTCGAATCGACGTAAGTTCATTCTTAAGTATCCACTTCAACCTCTTAAATCTGGCTCATTTTCAAGTAATCACTAGATCGATGAAAAATGTTATTTTCAAAGAGTAGAAAGTTAAGGTTTTTGTCCATCTACGGTGTCCACAGAGGTAGACGATGATGACATGACAACTTCAAAGCTTGCCACGTCAGCCCCAGGTTTTCTTGAACATTGAGTAATAATTGGATTATTTCACCTATTTTTACACTTGTTCTTACCGTAAGTTTTGATGTTCCAAAATAGACTCAATTTGGGTTCTACCAAGGAATTTGAAAATGAAACAATTTTGGAAAGGTAGGTAAAAGTGATCTTGAACACAATCGAACATGTAAACAACTATATGGGCGGACCTTTACTTATAGATTAGAATGGTTTAGGTTAGGATCATATAATAATCTACACATTCAATCTAGATGAATACACAGAGGAGAGAGAAAATGTAGGGAAAAATATTGCCCAGAGATTTATATTGATGACTCACGACAGGAGAGAATACATAGACTGAAAAAAGGTAGCATGCTCCAGGTCCCAACCATTCTCTCACGGATAGACTGATACAGTCAAACAAGAATTTCATTCTCAAATGATTATCAGCATCTCTATTGCACCATACCAATTGAGAATTTGTACAATATCAATATTTTAACATCAACCCATTTTGTCAACATCTTTGCTGGATTTTTTGCACCCTTTATCTTCTCCAAACACATCACCATCTTCAACTAACCTGCTAGTGAAATGATATCATCTTATGTGTTTTATCTTTGAATGATAGACCAGGTTCCTTACCAAGGAAGACACTATGATTATTTGTCTAAAGAATCTTATGGTGATGCTTCTTGTCCAATTCTTCTAGATAGTCTGTCATCTATATCATCTCCTTTCCAATTTTAGCTATTGTCACGTACTCAGCTTGAGTAGATGAAAGAGCAATACATTTCTGAAGCCTATATATCTCATTATTCATGGTTTGCTTCAATTTGGTTGTATCCTCCAATTGTAGGGCCTCATCAAAGGGCTCTGGTTCCCCTTCATAAGTCAGCAACAAATATTGTAATGAAGGTACATACTTATCTGGTGCTCTGATATCTCTGGATGATCTTTTCAACACCTGCTCAGGTGTCACTTGCTCCACCTCTGGTTCCTCATCAATAGTCTCAGGAGTTTCTTGAGTATCTGCTACAACATCACTAGTGATTTTTTCGCAACTCAACCTCAACTCCCACATCAGGAGTTCCTCGAGTATTTGCTACAACATCTCAGAATTATCTTGTCCTTGATATTCCAAAACTTGTACTCGAACATCTCATAATCATAGCATATGAGGTAGCACTTCACAGACTCAACGTCAAACTTGTCACTCTTCATTGGATCAACATGAACATACACAGTACCGTCAAAAGTTCGAAAGTGAGAGTATTTGAGTTCTTTTCCTGTCCATACTTCTTTTGGCAACTTGAACTCCAAGGGTACTGACAGCCTTCTATTGATCAAATAGTTTGTTGTGTTCACAACATTAACCCAGAATGTATTTGGTAGTCTAGAATGAATCCTCATGCTTCTTGCCAGCTCATTCAATGTTTTGTTCATCCCTTCTACAACATCATTTTGTATGGCCTAATTGAAAAATGTCCTAATTAATCTAATTTCCCAAGCCGCATAAAATGTTCTAAACCTAACTTGTCGTACTCTTCTCCATTGTCAGACCTTAGAGATTTGATCTTCAAGTTGGTTTAATTTTCAACCTCAGCTTTCCACTTCTTGAAGGTGACAAATACATCTGACTTGTGTTTTAGGAAATAAATATATACCTTCCTACTGAAATCATCGATGAAGGTGACGTAGAATTTTGATCCACCAAGTGATGAAACTGGAGAAAGTCCCTATACGTCTGTATAGACCATTTCAATCACACTTTCTTTGGTTCTTTGGCTACCTTTATGAAGCTAACTCATTTCTATTTGACCATGACACATCTCTCCCAAAGACCCATATCAATAGATTTTAGGCTTTCTAAAAATTCTTACACAGCCAACATCTTCATTCCTTTGACGCTCATATGTCAAAGTTTATTGTGTCATATACTTGAATTGGAAGCACTCTCAATAAGAGTACCCATGTTTGTACACCCTGCAGTGGTGTATAAGGTTCTAGATTTTGTGGCACGTGCTACCATCATATCACCCTTCACGATCTTCCATGAACTCTTCCCAAACTCTGCTGCATAATCTATGCTATTCAACTGATCAATGAAAACCAGGTTCATCTTGAGACTAGAAATATATTTGACCTTCTTTAACGTCTACTGATTTCTTGCGAGAGTTTTTAAGCAAACATCCCATTTCCTTCAATCTCCAAGGTTTAGTTTTCGGCAAGATACACCTTCTCAAAATTTCCTTACTTGGAGAAGAATGAAACGGTGCACCTAAATCCAAAATCCAGGACTCAATCAAACTGTCCACACTAAGGATTAGAGCATCATCAGTATCTTCTATTGAGTATATAGAATCATTGTCATCTTCAGATTTGTGATTCTGTTTCTTCTTCAATTTTGTACATATTGTCCGAAAGTACTCTTTTTCTCTACCATTTCAACACTTTACGTTTGATTTGTTTGGAGATTTTCCCTGGTTCTTTGATTTTGATCGTCCATGTTTGTTTGAGCTATTTGATTTACTTTTACCCCTTCGATCAACATTGAGAGCATTGCCTGATGAATCTCCAATTTTCGATTTGTGAATACTTTTCCTAAGAACTACATCTCGAATTACATAAAACTTCAGTTTATCAGATCCTCGTGAACTGTTGATCGCAACAACAACAATATCCCACGACTTGGGTAAAGATGACATCAAAATAAATTCTTTAATTTCATCTTAAAAAATAATTTCTGTCAAGCTCAATTGACTTACAATCATGTTGAACTCATTTATATGATTTACTAGATTGAATAGTCTTTGCATCAAATACATCTTGTTCATAGTTGATGGTTGTTCGTACATTTCGACGACGCCTTCAATAGGTTCGACGTCGTATTCTCCTTGATGATGTTGTCCATAATGTTGAATGCCATGTTTTTGGACAACATCAACCAGATCAACCCTAAGCCTTGACGATCTTTGAGCTTCCACTATTCCGTGGTCATGATATCTAGCTTCAACCCCAACAGGGTTCATGAAGATCTTTCTGGTACAAATAATCTTCAATCTGCATCTTCAAGAAATCGAAATCGGATCCATCGAACTTCTCAATCCCAATCTTTAAGCTTTCCATATTCAAAGATAGTGGTGAATCTCGCCTAGCTCTGATACAAGTTGTTAGGATCACACAACAATGTACACGCTCGATCTAGATGAATACAAAGAACATGAGAGAGAAAATGCAAGGAGAAATATTGGCTAAAAGTTTATATTGATAACTTGAGGTATGTACACCAAGAGAGAATACAAGAGAATAAGAAAAATACATCTTTAAAGCACTGTCACGGGTATATGTATGACTTTAGTTTACTATATAGCTTTACAAAATATAACCACCTACCCTATATAAATATACCCCATATATTTCTTTACCAGCTTTTTACTATTACTAGGACAGTTTTTCATATATAGTTTTTACAATCTATGACAATTGAATAAGCAATAAATAGGCCGCATGTTCTATATCCCAATAGTTTACCTAATTTTTTATTATCCACTCTTACAAAAATGTTTACTATACTAGAAACTAAAACACTAGTTTCCACTTACTCAAGAATTTGAAGGAATTCCAACCTCAAAATGGTCATGAACCGAGCACCCAAACACACCCAAACGAGTAACTATTTAGAGCAAGTTTCAAGAAGAGTTTATAGGAGTCAATTAGGATGGTAAGCAACTGATTAATATTCATGTTTAGAAGCCTAATTGACCAAGTTTTATGAAAAATAATCTTAAAAAACCTAAAAGTCTACGGTTTAGCATGATATTCAGTTTTATAATATCTACTTGCATGAATTGTAAATTCTGGTAGTTTTATTATGCTCACAAGTACTTAAATATGCTTTTATTTGATTTATTATTATTTATTTTAGCACGTTGATTATGATTTATGCCGATATAAAATTTTAGATACATGTTTGAAAGTTTGAAAGTTTGAAAACCTATATGGCGCAATTAGTATTTGGACGATTGTTACATGCCTTAGAGTGCTTACCATAACTATGTTAGATCATAAACTATTGTTTTACGATAATTTGATCTTAGGACCGAGCTATTGGGTCACACGACCTTTTTGAATTGACTAGGTATCTTACAGGAACGTTTAAGGCATAACCCATACTTATAAACGAACAAACAAGTGTTAGGGTCTACTTGGTACGCAGGAAATGGTCGTCACCCACAAGGAACTATAAGAGAATAGAATGTACACTACTGAGGTAGCTTTGGTTAAGCCTAGTGGGGAGTCATGACCTTATATTTTTTCAAATCAAGGAGGGTGTATGAACCGATAGTCTATTGTTCTAGCTTGAAAAGTAACAAATATATAGTTACTGTTCCTAAATAGGTAATCCACTGTTCTAACTTGGGAATGACAATGAACAAGTAGTCGTTGTTCCTAGACAGGTAGTTTACCGTTCTAACCCGAGGGATGTAAGAACAGGTAGTTTATTGATTTAGCTTGAGAAGCGAAAGTGATATTGCTCGGCATCCTTAGGAATAATTTTTCGAATATAATTCAGTAAGTAGTCAGGTGTGGAGTATGAATAATATTCTAAGAGCAAAAGTGCTCTTTCATACTTAAGATAGAGTACTAAGGCCCTTTCATGGGTCACAGTGACCTGAGGCACAATTAGGGCAAGGTTCACAATGGACCTAGGTAAACGTAAAATACAGAGTTAATAGTACTTAAAACCATCAAGATATGAACTCCAAGAGTGATAAACTACTCCTTAGAGGAGGTATGTGTAGGGTTTAAGTGTCTAAGAACCTAAGGTAGCATAAACCTCGAGCACAATTTTGACTAACTATAGGGATTGTTTGAGCATATATCTTCGGCATATGAGTATAGGAATAAGTCAGATGAGAGCCAACAATTAGGTTACTTATGGAGTATTTTTAATACTCGCTCTTGCTATACTTTCATTTTCAGGTGACCAACAGATCACTGTCTATGGTGAACGACGTGTTAAGTCGTGTGGCTGTGGAGAGACCGTCGACCTGAGTCTTATGTGTACTTGTAACGACCCTAAATTTCCACATACTCAGAGAGTCGCTACTAACGTCTCATGCTCATCTATAATACGGAAGTATAACTCTTACATGAACATAATTTGTAACGTAAACTTCAAAAAACATTTAAAAAAACTTCTTCTCTGGAAAACACAATCATGGTCTTACGTGTTTAAATATGAAATACTGAAATTTAGAGAAAACAAAAACAAAATACAAAATAATTTAAAACAATGAAATGCAAAATAAGCTCTTCTAACTTAAGACTAGAAATTTAAATATAAATCTACCCTATGCACGTGCCACAGTCTCTGCTCGTGATGCCACCGTCCTCCGTACAAGTGCGCCTTGCCTTGACCTGAAAAATGATGTGGCACACGGCCTAAGTATTTCAAATAATACTCAGTAAGTGGCCCCACTATAGGGGGCCATGCAAATGAAAACACATGCAATCATGATTTAGGGATCTGTCTCTAATCATCTTGAGGGTGGTCTCCAGTCTCAGACAAATTGAATGTGTAGTACTTCCCTACCACGACTCACATGTGCGAGTGTGAATCCCCAAGGCGCTCACACACCCCCTGGACCCTCTGATCTAGCTAATCTGTAGCGACGTCTGGAGGTCAGTCGAACCCCATAGTGTCATGTGTCTCATGAACACCCTCGTCTGTGTGCATTCGCACCTGTACGCATTCGCGCTCATCATACGGTGCGAGTCCGCACTCATCATCTCTAGAGGAAGTAGTCCTATGCTTATGAACATATAATATGCATGAGGTCCCTCTAAGTCCAATTATACATCCCTTCTGACACAACCCTCTAGTCTCATCTCTTTGTTACACTATGTAACACGTGCTCGTGGATATTTACATTAATATCATCTTCATACTCTTAGGGTTGTGTCCTATGTCGATCTAACGACATGATGCAATATGGAAAACAACATCATAAGGCATGTTCAACATGGAAAACATCATCGTGTTAATAACATCGTCATGCATACACCATACTCATCATAGAAGCCATTAAGTGCATCAGATATAACAAGTACGTCATGCATCGAAACATAAATAACGTACACTTAACATACATCACAACACAACGTCATTCTCATACATTATCATAATTCAAACAATCTTTAGCCTATCCTATAGTAAGGCCACTTACCTGGTTGACCTTAGTCGAAGTATTCCCTAATTTAATTAACGTAAGCTCCCGTTCCTCAAGAGCTGCTCCAAAGGTTGCTAAAGTTCGCTTCATATCCCACCTTTCGTCACCTTTCCTTAGTATTTCACATTTTAATTAATAGTCCAACTAAAAATGTGAAATACGGCTCTAAAACAGTCTCAGTAAAAATCGAATTCCACGTTTTCATTATTTCTAAATTTTTGTTGGGAAGTAAAACTTAAATTGAAAATATATTATTTCATGATGGTTGAATCATTCAATCCAACTATGGTTTGTTATAATATTATATTCTCGGGTACGAATAATAATAATTTCTCACCATTTTCGTTCTCTGTTGTACCATTTTGTTTCTCTTTCCTCTGTATTTTTTTCTTTCCTACAATCAATTCTGTTCTCCTCTCTTTCCTAAACGACTATCATTAACGAAGCCATTTTCAATCTATTCTGCTTCCTTCTCTTCCCCAAATGACTATCCAATCAAAGAAGTCATTCTCAATCTATTCTAATTTTTCTTTATAAAAATGACTATGCATCAATCAATTATGATTTTCTTCTCTTTCCTAAAAATGATGATCCAATTTAGATGCAATTCACAAACCCATTTTCAATCAATTTTGATTTTCAATAAGATATCCAAAAAATCTAAATAATTGAAAAAGAGATGTAAGATAACTTTTCTATCTCCTTCTATCTCGGGCAAAAGATAAAAATAAAGGCGATCTAACTTACCAATAACTTTTATATTTCTTTCCCTTCCTATCGAATCTGCTTGAAGTGAAAGTCATCTTCAAATTTTCTCTCCCAAAATCTCCGATCTTTCCTTGGTTTCTTTCTCCAATTTTCCCCTTCCCAAAATCTGCCATTTTTTTTTGTTTATGTTTTGTTTTTTTTTCCACATGTTGGAGGTGTTTGGGAGATATTTGGTACTTTTTTTTTTAATTATTATTTACTTATTATTATTATTTTTACCGTTCGTTACAGTACTTGTATATTTCTTTTGAAAACCCCTTTGTTTATATATAAATTTGTATATTTGTTTTGTTTTTAATGTAATTTTTTGAGTGGGTTTCGCTATGCTTTGTTTTGAACTAAAAAAAAATGATCGAAGTTCTATCTTCGTGTCTACTCTATTGAAATTTTTTATCCAACTCCTCTAAAATCTTATCAAATCTGAGGAAAATACAGAAACTAAAAACTTACAAAATCTTACCTCCTCGAACCGTTAGGGTTGGGTTGGGTCCTATACGATTTCGAGTTGGGTTGAAATTTTTTTGGACCCAAGGTTGTTTGAGTTGGTTCGAGTTCAGTGTGTAAAGGATCGGGTCAACTCAACCCAATCCAGTTTAATAAAAAGAGAGAAATCAGTAATCTTTTTTTTTTTTCTTTCATTTTCTTGGTCGCCAAGTTCCATCGTCTTCAATACATTCTTAAAGTTTCATCATCTTCCAAGTTGTCGTCGCCTTTGCCCTTTCACTTAGTACGTTTTCACATAGTCAGGTTCAGTCTCATCTAACGTCTTTAGTAGTAAGCACTTGGTTGTCGGTCGTTGGCTGTCTCGACACTTAGTTGTCTCAATTTCGTCGTCTTTAACACTCGGTAATCAGTTGCCTGAGTACTCCATAGAAGTGAAAATAAAATATTTTCGGTTTAATGAAGAAACTTAACCTTAGTGAACATATATATGAAATTGAAGCCCATGTTGATAACAATATAGGTTTTGGTTTATGTTTATTAGTAATATAATATAGCACACTATGTTCAATGTTTATGAAACCCATGTTGATAATAATACTGTAGCATATTATATTTAATGTTTAGACAATTGAAGCCCATATTGATATTGTATTGATGATAATAACGTAGCATATTAATTATTATGTTTAATGTTAAATTCATGTTGATGATGGTAATATAGTATATTGAGTTGGATGATAATAACCTAACACAATATGTTTAATGTTTATGGCTTATCTAAATAGTTTATAATTGAGTCACATCAAAATTGTGGTTATTGTGTCATATTGGAATGAACGTTTGAATCATATTAATTTCACTTTACTTTTTATAGATTGAAAATAATAGTGAACGTGGATGTAATTTTGAAACTTCTCCGTTTGGTTCTAGTAATTACAAATGCAACCAAGCCACTATTGCCTACACAATTTGAATCTAGGAAAAGGAAATCTTATAAGAGATATATGCTTGTGATACTAATTCTCGTAAAACTAGCACATTTGTGGAAAAAAAAACATGTAGTCATTTAATATTGTTGCTTCATTATTTAGTATTATAGATTAATTGTCATTTAAATTTATAAAGAATAAGGGTTTTAGATTGTTTTGCAATACTACATGTTTAAATATATTGTCTGTTTTGGCTCATTACGTATCACCACTAGCCTCACGGTTTTAAAATGTGTCTACTAGAGATAGGTTTCCACACCCTTATAAGCAATGCTTCGAGATTTAGTCTCCTCGCTAAAACATCACCAATGTCTAGCTCTTATACCATTTGTAATGGCGTAGACCCACTACTAATAGATATTGTCCTATTTTAGCTTTCTTTTTTGTTTAGGTTTCTTCTCAAAAGTTTTTAAAACACGTATATTAGAGAGAGGTTTTCACACCCTCATGAAGAATGATTTGTTCTTCTCCCCAACTGACATGGGATCTCATAGTCAGCCTCCCTAACTTCATTAGGTTTCATTAAACTTTCCCCATGTTAGCCTTTTGCAAATCAATCTTATTCATAAACACACTTATGCAACACCCAGCTGACGAAAAAAAAAAAACACATTACATATGACAAGATCCTGTTGGAAAGGAGGGGATTGATTGAATTATCTATACAAACCTTTATAGCAATCAGAGATGAAAGAAAGAACACCATGAACCCTGAAAATGCAAGGGAGATCATGGCGCATCTCAATCCCTTTTCTAACCTATGGATTCCTACGTGATTCAAGCGAATGTTTTGTGTTCATCTCATCTTTATCAGCTTCTGCAACTTTGTGCCTTGATCTTGTGCTTGCTGATCTCCTCAACTTTTCATCTGGTCGTGATCTCAGCTCATCACTGGCTGCTGCTACGCGGCTACTTGTCTTGGAATTACCTTTCTCTTGCTCAAAGAACAACACTTGCACAACTGTTCTTAGTGGCAGCCGCTCGTTCTTCACTGCATGAGCACGTACATCCGCCGACAGCTTCTGGCAGTTCAGAACTCGACATAATCTCTTTTTATCAGCTTTGCTTAGATATGGATGCTCCTACAACAAATGAGATCCCCAAGCATTTAGAAGCGGAGATCAGGATGAACAAAAAAAAAAGTTAAAAATATTCACTCATTCATACTGTGTTTGTGGGACGTGACCCTCGATCGGAATTATGTCGAAACAAGTAAAAGAGGCAAATGAACACTTTGAGAAGAGATCTTTTGGAGCAAAGAAAGGTTAAGCACTTAGCTTTTCAATTCTCTGTGTTGTGAAAAGCATACCTTTCATGAGTATTTACAGGGAGAAAGCACTAACTAACTTCTTAACCTTACCAACGATCTTCCTAATTAAAGCATAAAACATAGTCTACAATCACAAAACTTGGTCCACAATTTGGAAACTACTACCAATTCTACTATAGTTACTCCATAAGTTACTAATCCTACTAACAATTCTCCTAAAGTTACTCCATAAGTTAGTGACTTATTCTACCAAGTTAAGTTTATAAGCTCACAATCTCCTTTGTTCGAGATTCTTCACTCCCAGCAATTTCCGCATCTCTGCAAACTTAACTCTTGCTAGGGCCTTGGTTAGAATATCAGCATGTTGCTCTCTAGTGCATACGAACTCCACAACGATTTCTCTTGACAACACATTCACGGATGAAGTGGAAGAGAGTGTCAATGTGTTTGCTACATCTGTGAAATACTGAATTCTTCATCAATGCAATCGCAGATTTGTTGTCGACATAGAGAGTTACTAGGTTTAGTTCACTTCTAGTCACTTCATTCAACAAATTTCTCAGCCACAATTCTTGGCATGACGCTACAGTTGATGCCATGAACTTGGCCTCACAGGAAGATAGGGCCACAGTTCCCTGCTTCTGAGATTGCCAAGAGATGTTCCATGTCCTCACAGGAACTCGGCCTCAAAGGATGTTCCACAACCTCGGCGCTTGACATAATCCGTAGAGGGCCTTTGACAACTTGTACACTTTGTGCTCTTCGGCTTTGATGACGAACCCTTCAGGTTAGACAACATACAGTTATTCTTGGAGGTCATCATTTAGGAATGTTGATTTGATGTCCAAGTGATGGACCTCCCACCCTTGTTAAGCTGCAAGGGCAAGAATCAACCTTACAGTGTCCAGTCTAGTCGCAGACGTGAAAACCTCCTCAAAATCAACTCCTTGTCGTTGAACGTATCCCTTTGCCACGAGTCTTGCTTTATGCTTGATGACATTTCCTTCACTATTCTTATTCAACTTAAACACCTACTTCAAACCGATGGGCTTGTGTTTGGACGGTAAGTTAGTTAGTGCCCACGTCTTGTTTTTCTCAATGGCTTCAAGCTCCTTTGGCATGGCCTCTTGCCACATCGTCTCAATTGCTGCCTCACAATAGGTTGTCGCCTCCTCGGCCACGAGCAACACTAACTCATCGGGATCCAATTCTTCTTCAAGTGTATCCGCATAAATTTCAACAAGAGAATGAAACTTCTTTGGTTCATCCTCTGTTATGGATCCTCCTGTGCTCTCGTCTAAGTTTTCTTGTTGTAGAGAGTCCATCATGCCTATTGGTATCACCGGTGATGACATGTGTGTATTTGTTGGTGTTGCTGTAAGGACACTTTCTAGGTCTGTTGCATCTACCTCTTCTTCTCGAGTAGTGAACTCTGTAACAATCTGCTTGTTATCGTCAACACTGCACCAATCCCACTTCTTCTCTTCTTCAAATGCAACATCTCTACTTACATGAATTTTCTCATGTTGCGGATCATACAACCTATGTGCCTTGGTTCCATACTCTACGCCAAAGTACACCATAACTGGCCACACAAATCTGTATGAACCAGTTGCAGTGGTCGCTCAGCACGGAAGCTAATTTGAGATGAGAATGATAGTCATGCTTGTTTGGAGTCTAGGCAACTTTCACATAACTGGTTCGGGTGTATGACTTTGGGTAGCCCTATAGCCATCTTCTTCTCTGCCATCATTTTAAGCATTTGAAAGTTCACGTGCCCAAGTCTTGCATGGCATATCCAAGTTGGGTCGGCAAGTTTCGTCAATAGAGAGGTGGGTTGGCTAGTCTCTAATAGTATCCTATATAGGCGGATATGTGATCGTTTTACCTTCATCAACAAGGTTCCATTTATGTCAAAGATCTCGAGGAACGAGCTAGCTAACTCCACTCTGCTTCCTTCTTCCATCATCTGACTAAGATTGATAATGTTATTCTTCAAGTTTGGGATATAGTATACCTTGGTCAGTAAACGTTGGTCACCATTCTTGCACTAGAACAAGATGGATCATTTGTCTTGGATTGGTACAATTGATCCATCGCCAAACTTCACGTTTTCATTGAGCTTCTCATCAAGCTCCTTGAACTTAGTTTGATCTCCGGTCATGTGGTTGCTTGCTCCGTTGTCAAGGTACCACATGTTGGTCTCCACTCGGTCTTCTCCTTTTGTGAGAAGGTTCGTCATAACCTTTTCTTCTTTGAGCATCAACAGGTTGGGCAGCTTCTCGACCAACATTAGTGTGAGCTCTTGATCCTGCGTGAGTATGAGGTTTGCCTCCTTATTTCACTTCTACTTGCGACACTCTACCGCATAGTGCCCATATTTTCCACAAGAGTAATACTTAATCATACTTTGTGCTTCCAGGAGTTGGAATTGTCATGGGTTTGTGAGGTATTGTCACGACCTCCTCTATCACCACGTCGCGACCATGTCCACAACCACATCCACAACCTCTGTTTTCCTTGTTATGGCTGTCATGCCCCCTCATACTTGGAAAAGAAAAGTCAAACGCATCATTCCTTTCCATCCGAGCGAGCCACTTCTCATGTGTGAGTAAGAGGTGTTTCAACTCCTCTTTGTCTTCATAACCACGAAGTCTCTCCTCATGGACTTTAAGACGACCAACAACCTCCTAAACTGACATGTTCTTGAGGTCACCGAGTTTCTCGAGGAAGGAAACAATTTGTATGAATCTTGGGAGAATAGCTCGAAGAAACTTCTTGAGGATGGAGATCTCCTCCACCATGTCGTCTAATGAACGGATGCTGCTAACGATCGTCGTCAACTTCATGACAAAGTCGTCTATTGACTCACCGTCCTTCATGCAGATAGCCTCAAACTCACTCTTCAAGGTCTGCACCTTTGCTTCCTTGACACGTTCCACACCCACATGCATGGTTTGCAGCGTCTCTCACGCTGCCTTTGCCGAGTCCTTCTCTCCCAACATGAGAAGAACGTCCTCTGGGACTGCTTGGTAGATGGCGACAAGAGCCATCCTGTCCTTATGATCCTCAACGTCACCATGCTCAATGGCGTCCCACACTTCTTGTGCTTATAAGTTGACACGCATCTTTATTGACCATGCTGCGTTGTTACTCTTCGTGAGTAATGGGTACTTGAGAGTTACACTCCCCTCCTTTCCGCTCTTTATCATTGTCATTTCTCCTTCAGAGATTTTTTATGGTGACGACATTTGTTTCGATATCTTAGTACTCTAATACCAAATGTTGGATGTGACTCTTGACCGAAATTATGTTGAAACAAGTAAAGAGACACATGAACATTTTGAAGGGAGAGATCTCTTGGACCAAATAAAAACATTTAGCTCTTCAATTTTCTTTGTTATTTTCTTTGTTATTGTGAAAAAACATACATTTCATGAGTATTTAGAGTAGAGAAAGCACTAATTAGCTTCCTAAACTTTCTCCAAGTTAAGAACCACTAATGAACTTTTTAATTAAAGCATAAAACTTAGTCCATAGACATAAAACTTGGTCTACAATTTGACAACTTGTACCAATTCTCCTATAGTTGTTTCATATATTACTAACTTATTCTACTAAGTCTTCTAACAATTTTCCTAAAATTATTCCATAGGTCAAAGTTAGTAACTTATTCTATTCTACTAAGTAAGTTTATAAGCTTAAGCTTGCATTATTTACCTTGAGAAAGATGTTGATTGCTTTGTAAACATCATCGTGATTCGGCCGGGCAACTTCAGGCAAAGCTTCAGCAAGATAAATCATCTTTGCAACAGGCATGGTTCGATCTCTAGCAACCACTTGTAGATAAGAGTCAATGAGCTTCCCAACTTTTCTAATAGATATCAAAAGCTGAGCATTTTCATCAGCCGCCGGCGACTGTCGTCTCCACGCCATTAAGAAGCTCTCTAAAACAGCCACAACCAAATCAACATCATGGCAATGCTCATCACCACCATCATCATTGGAGGCAGAATGTGAAGCAAAAAGTAAGTCGCTCACTGTTGCCTCTTCCAACAGGGCGCTGCATCGCATTATAACCTCTGTTTTTGTAACAGAAGAGGCTCCCAAGAGATTTGCAAGGCTGAGTAGCCGAAGCGAGAAGCTTACTGATATTGATTCTTGATCCGGGGGTATGAGGCTGATTAGGGTCTCGAGGATTTGCCGATTCTTAACTGAATTTGATTGGGCTGAGATATCTGGAAGCCACCGACAGGCGTAGACGTGTAAAGCTTCTCCGATTAGTGGCGGCGGCAGCATGCATGTTGATGAAATGGCCACGATTATACAGCGGAATAGATCGACGTCTAGATCGGCTATGTCCTCTGTCCACCAATCTTTGGGAACAGAGCGGTGGGTTTTCTTGTTGTAGCCTGGTCTGGTGTAAGTGTAGGACCATGTGACCTGCAACAAAATTGAAAAGTTTGGGAATTTGAGGAAGAAAAAGGAAAAAAAGTGTCGGGGATTGTTGGGAGAGAGTTCGCTAATTTAGTTGTTAATAATGCAAAAGTGTAAGAGTTCATGCTTAAAGTTGACAATATCATTGTGGTGAGTCGTGGTTCCTAATATGGTATCAAAGTCATACCCTTAATTTAGTCATGTCAATAAAATCCTTAAATGTCGAACAAGAAATTTTGAACCTTGAAGGTGTAGTCAAAAGTGACTTAAGTGCTGAACAAATGGTATATTTGTTCGAGGACTCCAGATGAGTCGAGCCTCGATTAAGAAACGTTGTTCAAGGGCTCCATAGGTCTCCATGGAGGTTCTATAGTGTACTTTGTTAGAGGACTCTAGACAAGAAGTTAAACTTCAATTAAAAAAGGCGGTTTGAGGTCTCCATAGGCCTCAAGGGAGGCTCTATAGTGTACTTTGTTTGATGACTCCAGAGAAGGAGTCGAGCATCAATTAAAGAAAACTGTTTGCGGGCTCCATAGGCCTCAATGGAGACTTTATGGTGTACTTTATTCGAAGAAAGGATGGTTGAGAATTGTTGGGAGAGAGTCCCACATTAGCTAATTTAGGGAATGATATGAGTTTATAAGTAAGGAATATATCTACATTGGTATGAGACATTTTAGGGAAGTCCAAAGCAAAAAAGTTGACACCCTCGAAAGTGTAGTCAAAAGTGACTCAAGTGTCAAACTTTGTTCGAAGACTCCATAAAAGAAGTCGAGCCTCGATTAAGGAAGGTTGTTTGAGGGTTCCATAGGCCTCAGGGGAGGCTCGATAGTGTACTTTATTCGATGGGAGAATTGTTGAGGATAGTTGGGAGGGAGTTTCCACGTTGGCTAATGACAATATGATACCATTGTGGAGAGTCGTTATTCCTAATAAAAAGTACGACAAACCCATTTGAGATTCGAACCTTTGGAGGTGGAGTGAGTATTTTCTCGACGATTGAATCAATGCATTTTCTGGTAATTCCAAGATTGTCGGACCATTCCGACAGGCCAACAGCAGAACGAAGCGCGACAATGGTGTCCTTCCAACCGGCAAGGATGCAAGAAAGAAAGAAAGTTTCAAGCTTGGCGATGAAGTTCCCATTAGCTGTGGATTCCTCGCTCATTTGAAGGAACTTAGCAGCACAGAACGCAGAGACAAAGTTATGGGCACTGAGATTTATAGTGATTCCATAGCAGAATTTGGCACAGAGCTCAAAGGCTTCGTCTCCTCCAGGAATGTCGTGGAGTTCAATACTGATTTTGTCAGCATTGTTGGAGCAAAGACGCTGTAAAAGGCCGCAATTGGGCAGGAGTGGGAACTGCAGCTAGCAAAATCCAGCTCGGTTAGCTCAAAAAACATGTCGGAAAAAGCAGTTTTTGAAGAACATCATGGGATCAGTTGAACGAACCTTGTGAATGAGATATGTAATATTGTTTATTTTGATAATAAGATCAGTGGGTGCATCAGAAATGACAGTCCTGCAATGAAAGCTTGATTAAAAAAAGGAGGCATGTGGGTTGAATTATGTTCATATGAATGCATTCATTACCTGGTAGCTTCTTCAGTGTAGAAGGTGTCCGGCCTTGTTCCTAATTTCATGAACTTCATGGCTCTAACTCAGTTGAAATGGTAGGTTTCTAGCCACACACCTTCCATGATCATACATATTACATAAATTAAGTTAAACAACATTTCAAGAGCTGGAAACGAACTCCTCCTATACTATGGACTCTCTAAACTAATGAGATCTTCTTTACTTCAGCTTGTTTAACTTACTTTCAAATGGTAGGTTGAAAAGAAACCATTTATGCTTTTCTGGTTTTTAAAACGCGTTTACTAGTAGAAAGATGAGATTTCTACACCCTTATAAAGACCACTAGCATATATTATCTTCTTTAGGCACTGCGAGCAGATATTACCCTCTTTGTCTCTAGTAGATAGGGTTTTTCTTTCAAAGTGTGGAAAGACACTGCGAGCCATTACCCTCTTTTGTCTCTAGCAGATATTGTTCTTCACGGGCTTGTCAGGGCTTTCTCTCAAGGTGAGGTTTCCACACCCTTATGAAGACCACTATCGGATATTATTCTTCTTGGACTTTCCATTTAGGGCTTTCTCTCAAGGTTTTTAAAATGCATCTGCTAGGAGCTTTCCCTTTGAGGTTTTTTCTCTCAAGTTTTTTAAAACGCATTTGCTAGAGAGAGGTTTCCACACCCTTAATGGTTTGTTCTCCTCCCCAAGCGATGTAGATCTCACAATCCACCCCCTTCAGGGCTAGCATCCTTACTGGCAACACCGTCTCGTGTTCACCCCTTTTAGGGCTCAGCTTCTTCGCTGACACATTACCTAGTGTCTGACTATGATACCACTTGCAACAGCCCAAGCCCACCACTAGCAGATATTGTCCTATTTGGGCTTCCCCTTTTGGCCTTCCCCTCAAGGTTTTTAAAACACGTCTACTGACAATAGGTTTTCACACTCTTATAAATAATGTTTCGTTCTACTCCCCAACCGATATAGGATCTCACCGTTTATTCCCTCAATCAAATATTTCATGTGTTTTAAAGGATCATCTACGCCAACCCATATCAAACAAAAATCAGGACAATAAAAAGAAAAGATGGGAAATGAAGATTTTATCACATGAACACTAAACATTAAGGGAAAAAAAAGCGAAGAATGTTGTTTGTTCTTGAGAGAGAGAGAGAGAGAGAGTTATAGGCATGGAAGTGCGGTCTGTGCAATGACAGGCAAATGGGGTAAAGAGAAGACACTGAAAAACAAAAGGCTTTATATTGTGTGGCCACAAAAACAACCAAACCCTCCCTTTGGGGTTCTATTTCTTCAATTATTTCCCACTTTTTCTCAAAGTAAACTATAAAACTTTATGAATTGGATGAAACCAAACATGGGAATTAATGCAAAATTGTGAAGAACATGAATTAAATGAAGAACACTATCAGATGGGTTTCCTTTTTTTGTGATTGGAATGGAAATTATCAAACTTTTTGTTGGAATTGAAACCAAAAAGAGTTGAAAAAGTACCGTATGAAGAGAGAGAGAGAGAGATCAGTTGATAGAAAAGCTTGTGCAAAGTTGATCCATAGTGGCAGCTGCAATCAAATCAATATAAAACAAGCGATGAGGAAGAGAATTGGTTGGAGTATGGAAGAGGAGCAACACTGTGTTCATGCAATATATTATATATTGGAAGAGATGGAAAAGAAGTGAATACAGCTTTGTGGGTTTGAGTATCAAACTCATCAACAAAAGGGTAGCACATTAAAGAATTGGAGAGAGAGAGAGAGTGGTTGGTTGGTTGGTATTAGTCAACATGGCAATGCATCAAGGCACGTACGTTATGATAAGGTGCTTGAATGGAAAGAAAGGCAACATAACTATCTTTCAAGCTTTTTCTTAAGGTTTTTAAAACGTTTATGTTAGGAAGAAATTTTCACATCTTTCACCGCTAGCATATATGGTTCTCTTTTAGGTTTTTCTTTTTAGGATTTCCCTCAAAATTTTTAAAACGCGTCTTTTAAGGTTTTCTCTAAAGGTTTTTAAAATCGATATGCTAGAGAAAGGTTTTCACACTCTCCACCACTAGTAGATATTGTCTTTTTTGAGCTTTCTCTTTAGGAAGAGGTTTTCACACCCTCCAACGCTAATAGATATTGTCCTCTTTGAGCTTTCCTTTTGGATTCCTTCAAGGTTTTTAAAATACTTCTGTTAGGGAGAGGGTTACACACCCTCCACCATTGGCAGATATTGTCCCCTTTGAGCTTTCCCTTTCGAGCTTTTCCTCAAAGTTTTAAAATATGTTTGCTAAGGAGAGGTTTCCACGCCCTCCACCGCTAGCAGACATTGTTCTCTTTAGGCTTTCCTTCTCGAGCTTTGTCTCAAGGTTTTCAAAACATGTCTATTAGGAAGAGGTTTTCACACCCTCCACCGCAAGCATATAGTGTCCTCTTCAGACTTTCTCTTTCGAGGTTTTCCTCAGGATTTATAAAATGCGTCTGCTAGGAAGAGATTTCCACACCCTTATAAAACATATTTCATTCTCCTCCCCAATTGATGTGAAATCTCACCCACATATACCAACATTCATATGAATATTGTGTGTGTAGGTAGGCACCAAAGAGGAAGAAAATGGAGGTGAATGATTGAGTTGAGAAAAGGCATGCAAAGGGGAAGTGGGGAAAAGAAGAGTTGTTGGAGAGTGCTACCAATTAAGTGAAAAAACGAAGCGAAAGATCCCCACACACTGCCTTTCCTCATCATGCTTTCCCCCACTAATCCCACCCTACATTCTTCTTATATTCTCTTCTTTACAATTCGTCTCTCTTCCCTTCATTTCTATGTCCCCCACGTCTCTCCTTTTTTGTTCTACACAAACCATCTTTTCTTCTACTTTCTTTCCTTTCCTTCTTTTAACCAACAAAACTACTGCCCAAATTTCCAAATTTTAAGGTCAAACTCTACCTTATGGAACTATAACTCCAAAACGATTCGTACTACATGTCTTCTTTACCGTGTGAAATCATTTCAAGTTCTTGTTTCTTTTAAATTATACGAGTATAATCTCTTGAGTTCTATTTGGAAGGAGCCTACGGCTCGTAAGTTTTGAGAAAAATTGTCGAAAAAATATATATGAAAGTTTGTCTCAGAAAGACGACTTGAGATATTTTAAAATCTACCTATCAAGGAGAGGATAGGGTAAAGATTGTAAAACTACAAACTTTCAAATCTGAATTTGATTCCTTCACGATACATGTGTTGAACATTTTCATGAACATTTTCTTAATTGTAGTCTTGCCATTGACATGCAATCGCATTAAAGATTCTATGAAAACACAATTAGAAGGAGTGATATGACGTTCACCCATTACTTTCTTGAGATTAAAGTCTATCAAAAATATGGAGAGATTTAAGTTCATGTAGAATATGTTTTAGATTTGTATTGAAGGTTGATATACTTGATCGCAATGAGACATGAGTAGGTATGTTAAAGAAGATTTATGACAAGCTCAAAGAAATGTAAGAAGAACAATTTTGATTGGTTATGGTGATAATGACTAAGATAATAATATTGATGATCCATTTTCGTGTTGTTCAAAGAAACAATCCATTGCCGATCTTTCTACTCCTAAATTAGAATATATATCGTTGTTATTTACCATTGAATATCAAATAAGATTCAAGATCAAATGACATTTTTACAAACACGTTGAGAATTTTTTCTATACCTTGATCCATATTTCGAAAATCTACTTCGTTTTCAACGGAATTATCTTCTACTACATGGATTTACTTGGTAAGTATTGTTGAAGAACATGGGATTGAAGGAAATAACAAAAGTATATTTGTAGAACGACCAAAGGAATAGGTTGAGTACGACAGTTTATAGCAATCACATGATCATCTTTCATGTTACTGCTATCATTCCTTCTCCTCCAACGCCTACTTTTGTAAGAAAATGGGAACAAAACAGCTAACTTTTTGCACAAAGTTTGAGATGAACAACAAAAAATAACAAAAAAAAGCCCATTAAAATATATCTTCTTTTCACGAAACAGTGCCTCCAACCTTCAGTATGCTCTGTTCCTGTTGCAAGTACTTAACCACATAAATAATGTAAGATCAAACTATAAATAATGGACCCACACCCATCCCTTCAGTCCCTTCAACTATCCATCATCATCGTTCAATCAAAATCACTAATCATGGCATGCTGCCATGATGATTCTCACGATGAAGATCACCGTCATTCTAACATGATCATCACCACCATCATCAATACCATCTTCTTTTCTATCATTACCTCATATCAATTTTACAGTTTTTTAATGAGATTCTCTTATCATTGCTACCTGTCCTAATCTTTTCCGCCACAATATCCTAGAAGTATATCCAAATCATATACTATCTTTGTAAACATTTTGCTCTACTTTTGAACGTTTTTTTTAACGTTGAAAACAATAACACTTTCCACAAAAGTATAATATCAAATACGTTAAATAGTAGTAATGGTAAAAGATTCATGAATCAAATAAAAAACTCCATGGACAGGCATCTAAATAATTGGGTAGAGAGAGAGAAAATAGAGAGAGAGGACAATATAAACGTATACCAAATGGGAATAGTCAAACTTCACTCTCATTATGATGGTATACTACAAAGACTCAAAAAAGTATCAAAAGGAACCGTGTCTTTCAGTGGGTGTCACTTGCTCAAGGCATATCACAGTTTTTCCAAGCTTTTAACTACATTCTTATAGAGGACTCTTAACCAGACAGCATTGGCACCCATATTTATCACTACAAATTTCTACGCTTGATATAACCTTACCTCGTAAAGACATACTCGTAAAGCCAAAGACGTCGAGAATTAACAGTTGCCATAATTTTACTCCAGGAACCATCTTTGATCGAATCCTCCAAACAACTTTTCAGCTCAACGCTTTTGAATAAACAGCTGCTGATCTTCATATCTTTTGTAGCCGGCAAATCTTGTCATTCTGTAAAAAGGAGAATCACCAGACGTTTTCGACCAGCCACGCATGTAGCTGCATACCTGTATATAGCATTCTCATGTAATGAATAATATAGGAGTAACAGTAGCACAAAAATCATTTTTGTGAGTAGCCAAGCAAAAGTAATAATTAAGCTATCCCTTTAACTCGACTCGAATCTGCTAGAGTAACAGTAGCACGACAGTGTTTTCATTCCAAAGTAATCATCTAACTTAGGAATAATCTTGAATCATTTTCTCACTTGGAAATGGTGTTGGAATCTCTTTTCCTGCTATAGATCACTTTTCATTATCCCTAAAGTTAAAACAAACAGAACCTTACAAACAATAGATGACAAACTCAATGCAAAAAGAACTATTATTTTAGGCTAGATTGAGAAAAGGGATTTTCCTTTTTTTTTTTTTTTTTTTTTTTTTTTTTTTTTTTTTTTTTTTTTTTTTTTTTTTTTTTTTT